CGCGCGGCTGTGCGGGCGGCCCGGCCGGCTGCGTCCCGGCCGCGAGCTGGGCCCCGGCCCTCAACGGCGGCCCCCGGCCCGCGCGCCGCCCCTCTGCGGCCGCGGCTGGGACCCCGGCTCCGGCCCCGGCCCGGGCTGCGAGCTGCGCTGCCGTCCCGGCGCCTCTTCAGCAGGGGAGCTGCACAGCAGCTGCCATGTTGCTACAAACTGCATCCTGGGAGGCATGTCCCTCTCAGGCCGTTTAAAGAGAAACACTCCGAGGCTCGTCGGAGGCTGCCGGAACCCAGACAGCTCCATCTACAGCCGGTAGGAGCGAACAGTGTCGAGCGAGCCGCCCGGCGGCGACGGACACGCCCTGAGCCCGGGCCAGCCCGTCGTGGAGCCCGGGCCGAACCGCCGGGGCCTCCCACCCTCCGGGACCCTCCGGCCTCTCACCTGGGGTCCTCGCCTGCCCGGGCACCCTCGGGCGAGGCCGGGAGGCGCGCGGGCGGAGGCGAAGTCGGAGCGCGCAGCCCAGGCGACGTGCTGGGGTCTGGAGGCGGCTTGATTGGCTCCGACAGCCTTCCTCCCGCCGATCCCCTGCGCCTCTCACACCCAGAACCGGGGGTCGTTCCCTTTCAAAACCTGCGCTCACAAAGGGATCTAAGAAACCCGTCACACCAGAGAAAGCCCGGAGTTCATGTGACCAGCTCAGTGCAGCCCGGGTTCCAGGGACGCGGGCTGTGCTTCCAAGGGGAGCCAGGGGGTTGGGTGCTTTTGTGAAATGCCCGAGTGTTGTTTTCGACATGAAAGGACAGAATTCCTGGAATCAGACCCTGCTGGGGCTGGAAGGGGCCAGACCGGTCATTTAGGAGGAAACTGAGGCCGAGTGGGCAGCGACTTGTTTACCCTCAGACACAGTATGAATGAATGCTCTTTGTAACCAGGAGAAGTCCCAAAAGAAATGCGGGAGCTTAGAGTCGAGGACTCCCCTTCCTGGGCAGGTCCACTTAAACATGTATTAACTGGGTACCTAGGAGGTGGCGAGAACTGGGGATCAATTGGAAAGGAAAAAAAGAAGAAATTAGAGGCAGGCGTCCTGGTTACTAACGATGAAGCCCAACTGGAACTAACTTAAGCGGGGAGGGGAGCAGAGGACATTGTCTTCACCTAATGGAACCCCATGGAGTGGAGCTGGTCTTGGAAGGCAACAGGACTCAGTATGCTGGCAGCTCCAATCTCTCTTTAAAAATGGAAAGTTGTGGATAGAGGTAAGGCCAGAGCTATGCATCCTGTCCCCTCCCTTCCCCGAGGGTAGAGTTCTCACCCAGGTCTTTATTTCCTACCCTGCCTGCATTCGTAAACAATGCACACTACTGGTTTTGGCATTTTTATATTTTATGCAAATGATGTTAACCAGTCCGGATGCTGTTGCCACTTGCTTTTTTCCATGGGCCATTACGTTTTTGAGATACAGGCATGTTTAAACAAGAATATCTGGTTCATTCATTTTACCCACAATATAGTATTTCGTTGAATACATAAACTCCTGTTTAACGTTCCATTCCTCCTAGAGGAATGAGAACAAACCTGCTGCCAGTGACATCTGCATGCGTGTCTCATTGTGCACTGCTAAAGTGCGTCTCTAGAGACGCCTAGACATGGGACACTGGATGGCAAGAGCACCTTCATCTTTCCCTGGCTTCCTGAACTGCTCACCAAAGGGATGGTGCCCACTTACCCACCATCGTGTAATTTTCTGTTTCCCCATCCTGGCTCATACTTACTGATAATGGACTCAGAACATTTACTGACATGATGAGTGTGAAATGGCAGCTCATTATTTTAATTTGTATTTGTATTTCCATGATTAATGAAGTTGGGCATCTTTTGATGTTTACTAGACATTTGGTTTCTTTCTCTATGAATTTCCTCTTCACATCCTTTGCCAATGTTTTTGTTGTGAGGTCTTTTTCTTATTGGCTTATGATATTTCATTAAAAATCTATTCTGGATCCTTATCATATCACCATTTAATGTAATTACTAATACGATTGCGTTTTAATCTACCATCTTACTAGTTATTTTCTATGTGCTCCAGGTATTCAGTGATTCTCCGCGTGTGTGTGTGTGTGTGTGTGTGTGTGTGTGTGTGTGTCTTTTGCCAGCTTTGGGGTTGAGGTTTTTTGTTAAATTCCATTTTTGTATTAGTATTCTATTTTTTAGTAATTTCTGTTTTCCACCATTTTCTTACTAGTTACACATCATTTTAAATGGTTGTCCTCGGTTTTACAATACACATCTTTAACTTTTTGACAGTCAACATAAATTATAGGACTTCACATATGGTGCGATAACCTTACAACAGGTTATCCCTACCATCTTTTATACTGTTGTTAGCATACGTTTTATGTTTACGTATGTTATAATCTCCACAATACCTTGTTAGATGTGCAGATGGCAAATAACTTCTCCCAGCCTGTCTTTTAACATGTTTCATGGTAAGTGTTGCACAAACATTAAAAAATTTTCAAGTATTATTTATATGCAGTGTAATGCACAGATTTCAAATTTATGGTTTGTCTGGCTTTGACAAATACAAAGACTTATGTACTCCATACCTCCCATTAAGATGTAAAACATTTCAGCCAGGCACGGTGGCTCACACCTGTAATCCTAGCACTTTGGGAGGCTGAGGTGGGTGGATCACCTGAGGTCAGAAGTTCGAGACCAGACTGGTCAACATGATGAAACCCTATCTTACTAAAAATACAAAAATTAGCAGGGCATGGTGGTGTGTGCCTATAGTCCCAGCTACTTGGGAGGCTGAGGCAGGAGAATCACTTGATTCCAGGAGGCGGAGGTTGCAGTGAGCTGAGATCGCACCACTGCACTCTGGCCTGGGCAAAAGAGCAAAAACTCTACACATATAATTTCATTACTGAAGAAAGTTCCATCATGTTCTTTTCCAGTCTTTGAGTTCTGATGAATCCATGCATCTGTGTTCTGCCATGGTAGATTACTTTTGCCTGTTCATATAAATGGAATCATACATATACACTCTTCTGTATGTAGGTTCCTTTAGTCAGCATACTCTTTGAGATTCAGTCATACTGTTATGTTTTCTGTCCTTCGTGTTTCTCAGTAGTACATATTTCATTTCTTAAAATGACATACTTAATGTGAATTTTTTCCTATAATTGTGTTTACTCTTGGTTTATCTTCCCCCCACAAGATTACCAACTATATATTTGCACATTGATGGTAAATATTGTGTCATCAGCTGCAAATTTTTGTTATGAATTTATCACAAAAGGAACTGTTTCAAAAACAGTATTAAATTGTCAGCAAAACATGTTTTGTATTTTCTTCAGTAAATGGTTCTTCTTTTTATAAAACATTTTGTATATTATTTTATTATTTCTTTCTAATTACTGCATTGTGGTTTTAAAGAGTAGCCTGAATAAAATAGGTTATTTGGAATTTGTTGTGATTTGCTTTGCAACCTATTTTTGTAAATAATCCATGTATACTTGAAAAGAACAAAATCTCTAATTGTTTGGATAAGACTAGTTGAATATGCTTTTCAAATTTTCTATACCCTTACTAATTTTTGTTTATCAATTACAGAGAGGTATGTAGAAATCTCCCATTGTGATTTTTCCCTTTTTCATTGTAATTCTGTCATTTTTTGATTTATGTATTTTGAGGCCATGTCGTTAGGAACATTGAACCTTATGTCTTTTTCGTAATATTGTGATCTTATTTATCCTAGTAATGCTTTTGCATTAAAGCCTGTTTTGTCCAGTAATATTAATGCTCCAGCTTTTTTGGGGTTAATGTTTGCTGATATGTCTTTTTCTGTCCAGTGAGTTACTTTCAACTATTTTGTGTCCTCATGTTTTAGGTATATGGCTTGCAAACATCATGTGACAGGATGTCAAGCATCATTTTGCCTGTGCCTGGGGATTGAGGCTAAGGCTCAGAACTAAGGACAAAAGATGTAGGGACCCCACACTTTAACTTCATGTGGCCAAAAGGAGTTGAGACAGTCACTTAACAGAGCTGAGCAGGAGGTACCACCTCAGGATTGGCCTACAACTTGACACCCCTCCCCAAATACACAGAAAAAGAAGACTTCAAGAGAGGGAGATTCTTGTCTGCTCCTTCCCTTTTCCACCACATGAAAGAGTCTTGGTCTCCTTTTGTGGGACCCCAGGACTTGACACATGATACTTTTCAGTCTCCATCTTCCACCATAGGGATGAAGAGGAGGCCTTTGGTATTTGCCTCCTGAAGCGTGTAGATGTACTGAATCATGGAAATAGAATTTTATGTTGATTTCTGAAGAAGTAACTCATCAGAGTAGGGCTTAAAGCATCATAGGGGACAGGTGGGGCTACTCCCACTCCATCCCAGTTCCTCTTAACCTGATGGTGTGATGAGACCTCATCAGCTTCCTTGCCCCCCGGGACAGAGCACAGAGATGAGTGGGAAAGGCAGGGATTCTGCGCTGCTGTGAGCCATGGGCCACAGGATGAGATACTTGCCCCTGAGAAAGAGTTAGGGGAAATAGTACCCATATCCCTCTCTTGGGAGTGGTTCTCAGTGTCAGAGCGGGTGAGGGTGAAATTGAGCAGGACCCCACTTACCTGGACACCACCATATCAGCAGATGCCTGCAGTCACAGGTGGAACCAAGCTGAATGAAGGTTCTCCATCAACAGATGTAAGCACATTCTCCTCTACCACTTTTTGACCTCATAGAGCCAAAAGTGAAGCTTTGTGAAGGCCTAGGCTGATGTCTGTGTGAAGGAAGCATGACGGGGTCTGAAGAGTGGACCACAAGTTCTCTTCACCCCAAGCTGTTAGTGCTCCAGGTAGATCTAGCCTGAACTGGAGTGGAGGGGACCTGAGTTCTGTGTTGAGTTTCATTCGAAGTTCAAATGTGCCTCACACTAAGACTGAAATGAGACTTTTCCTATATCAGAAAGTGATGAAATATAGTATTAGAATTTCGACAAGATGTGGTTTGGTACCAAATAGCTGGAAAGCAAGGAAGGGTTGATGTAGCACAATTACAGAGTAGTCATTGGAAAAAGGAAAACTATTTTATGGTTATGCTCTGATGAATTAATACTCCTAATAAAACTTAAAAGCATAGAGTTGGACTTGTGTTTTCTTTTATAATTTGACAACTTATTTTTAAACTAGAAAGTTTTGTTTACATTTGTAGTGAATACAGATATATTTGGATTTTTTTCATCATTTTATTTTGTGACCTTTTCATCACTTCTTTCCCCCTTTCCTTACTTTCTATTAGATTTATTTTTATTTTTTATTTTTTTAAATAGAGACAGGGTTTCAC